TAGGCAATAAGCTATTATTGCGCTATACAGAGAGCTCAGCCCAGTGCTCTGGGCAGAGGTAGAGATGCTAGTGCTCGACCTACCACCGGGAGAACAAGCCGGGTAATAAACCCTTTCACCCCAAAGAACGTTTTGCTGTCAATTTCTTTGGTCACATTGAATCCATAGCAAACTTGTCTGGAGCTGAAACCCACTGGCAAGACAGAAGGTTCTAGAGGTGGGTCCATTTCCTTGTCTTTCCCAGTTTCTAGAGGCCACCTGCATCCCTTGTTCATGTCCCCCTCCCTCCATCTCCAAAGCCAGCAGGGGTCCCTCTGACCATTCTTCTGTAGTCACATCTCCCTCTGACTGACAATAGCTGGGAAAGGGAGTCTGCTTTTAAGGACTCATTTGATTAGGTCAGGATCACGTATAACTTTCCCAGCTTGTCCTTAATTTAATCACATCTACAAAGTCCCTTTGGCCACCTGAGGTAAGACATTCACAGGTTCCAAGGATTCAGACATGGACAGCCTCAGGGAGCATCCTTCTGTTCCCCACACAGGACCTGACACCAGGGGCTTCAGTCTGGGGCTGAGGTTGGGTTGGCAGAGAAGTAAGGAGAGTAAGGAGACACAGTCCAACTCAGAGCCACTCCCTAAAACACAGGGCACCTGTCGTAGAGACATGAGCAGAAAAAAAGTCTATTTCATTGGGAAATGAAGACAAACCAACATTTCGCTTTATTCTATAACTGCTTTCCAATGTTGATATGTTGATATCCCAGGGTTGATTATGAAGTTCAAAAGAACATGTGCAATTCTGTTCCATTTATAGTGAAATTGGGGACTAAAATGAAATCATATTAGCACCTGTGGATCTGGGCGGCAGTAAACATGCAAGCTGCTTGGCTTCACTCATTCCGTTTGCTAGAGTTCACTTACTAGCTCTGTGCTCTGCCTGTTCTTTCATTTAGCCTTTTAGTATTCCTGTTGATAGTAAGTGCAATCCTGAGCCTGTTGGCTGTGTAATTCTAAATTTAAATACATTTGCAAGACAAGGGCTTGGTCTGTGACTTTGTTCAAGCACAGCGTCTCAGTCTTCAGTTGATGGAAAGCTTCAAGGATTAGAAGCTTTCTGGGTGGATGAGCAAAATCTTTGCTTTGAAGTCCATTTGTTTTGACATTTTAGGGACTAACCCAAGATATATCTACCCTCTTCCAGTGGTCATTCAGCAGTGTGCTCTTGGGAAAGTCACTCACCCTCTCTGAGGACAATGCTACCTGTCTTACTGGAGGTATGTGATGATCGTGGAGAGAAGATTAATGAGATTGTGGGTTACCAGTCTCTGCATGTGCAGAAAAGGGTGATGTGGAGGAGGAGGCATGCCAGAATCACAGTGGTTGAGATTCTCCCCCTGACTTGGGCCAGAAGTAGGAACTCAGGCAGAGCAAGTATGGAGGAGCAGAAAGCATGAGCCTGGCAAAGGACAATGCTGGTCTGCTGGGAGGAGAGTGGAGGGAACAAGAAGAGAGACATGGCCATGCCAGGAAAACAGAGAGGGCATGACCAACCCCTTGTCAGTCCTGTGACATAAATTTCCCTTCACCTGGGCTACCTGCATTGGTTTTCTGATTCTTGCACCTGAAATATCTTTGTGTGGGAGTCTTCAGAATCAGGATGCAGAATGAGTGCTGTATTTCATAATTAGATCATTTTTATTTCTTATTTGCTTTTTGTTTCCTATTTATAGTTAGTATGAGTCTTTTAAATTCTAAAAGTCTAGATTAAGATATAAACATCTAAATTCTGACTCAGCCCTGGGGGAGCTGTGGGCTGGCAGCAGCGGTAACGGAGCAGAGGGGAACTGCAGGGCCGGAGCCCTCCCGCCTGGCCGGCTGCTTCCCAGGCCAAGCCTCTGCTCTGAGCGCTTGCTCTTGGCGGGGTGGTCATTTCCTTTAGAGCTTCATTTCCTCACTGTAACTCAGGAGTTGGAACCAGGAGCTTTCTGAGGCCCCGAGGCTCAGCTCTGTGGTTCCCCAAGAGAAGGGCCGGTCCCCAGTGTTTTCAAGGCGGCCTTAGAATCTGGTGAAAGCCCAGAACGCCCCGACAGGAATCGGATCCCAACTGGCTAAGCACCAGCCCCTCAGCTTTTTCTTTTCCAAAAAGACAGGTCCCCTGTTGGCATCTACTTCTGCCTTCTTACCTTTTCCTGCCCCATTCCCTCCCTGTCTGTGCACCAAACTGTTTGGTGAAGCAGGGATTGAAGGGAGGCGCCCCAGGTGAGGAAGCCCCGTGTCTGGAATCGCAAGTGAGAGCAGCTAAGTACATGGAGCTCCTCTTCAGCCTCCTCCCACCCTTCTGAGCCACTCTCCAATTTATTTTGTTTGCATATTCCACTGATGGATATATAACATCCATGCAACCCATCACTTCACTACTGACCATCCACCTAATGGAGCCTGTGGATAAAATGAGAGTTCCTGCGGCCAGGATTCTCACCTGGCTGTGGTTGACTAGCTCACTGCACACCTGTGGGCAATACATGGCTGTTGACTCTATATAAAGAGCTCTGCCCAGTGCTGTGGGCATGACATGGTGGCAGGGCTGCAAGGCTGCAGGAGAGCAGAGCAGAGGCTGGAGTGGTGGCCGCGCTGAGGACAGAGGCCCAGAGGACAGTTGTGCGGACAATTGTGCAGAGAGGCCCAGAGGACGGCTGTGCAGACAGAGGAGCCCTGCGGCAGAGACCGGCTTGCTACCTGCAGACTTGCTCTGAGTGAAAGGGATTCTAGTGACTGACCTGTCACCTGGAAATAAAGTTGGGTATAACCCTTTCACCCCAAGAACATTTTGCTGTCAATTTCTTTGATTACTTTGAATCCATAGCAAACTTGCCTGGGTTTGAGACCCATTGGCAAGACAAGCCTGAGGCTGGAGGGAAGGGAGAAGCAGCCTGTCTCATCTGTTAGCCCAACATTCAGTTATTTGGTGTCTTGGAGGACAGAGCCAGCCACCGACCTGCAGAGCATCAGAGCCCTAATAAATCATCTGGTCTGGCCCCTGTCCTCCATCCTTTACAGACGGCAGCACTCACATGGAGAGGTTAAGTGACTTGCTTATGGTCACACAGCAGAGCTAAGGGCAGAATTCAAGATACCCTTGTCTTGGTTCATGGTTCCACTCCACCCTGTGGCCCAAGGAGGGTAAAGATGATAGATGAGCTTCTATAAGCATAAAGAGAAGGAAAACAGACACACATATCCTTTCAGTCCTCCAAATTAATAAGGACCCTGGATGGGAAAGAAAAAGATGAATAGCAAAGGCATTTTTAGAAAGTGAAATCGGAAAGTATGGAGGTAAATGCTTTTCTCCAAGACCACATCAGGAAAACATGGTGAAAATATTTCTTTGAAGGGATGGAGTCTTTATGGAGTTGTTTTTCCTTCTTTGCTACATTCATTCTTTAATCCGTGTTCTCATCAGCACACAACACTTTTCTCCTCCTATTTTTCTTCTTGCATCTTTATCACCTTATTTTCATATTATACTATCAACCTCGGTATACAGAGCTTTTAAAGCAGCTATTTTTAATGCAAGATGGCACACCAAGCATCAACCCTCCAGTAAAACTGACTGGGACATCTGGCACTAAAACACTTATGTGCCTTCCCTAAAGAAGCCTGCTAACCCATTTGCTATCTTTAAAAAGTAATGCAGGAATGATAACAGGTTGACATTTTGAAAACAAGAAAACAGTGTCTAAAAAATCTTATTTTCCTATTTCAAATTAAAGTCCTCATGATAAATCATTTGACATGGAGAGCTGGCATTTGCAACAATTGGTGATTTTCATATATTTGACTCTGACTGCATACAAATGCCAGTAAACCCATCTACTAATTTTTCTTCACAGGAACAGAAGATAGTACTCAATGTGTTATTGGAATTTAATGCTAAAATATAAATGTTTTAGGTTCTTATGAAAATAAAGTGCTTTTGATGATTTCTTCTGACCATGCAGAAATATTCTAGTGTCTTTGATGTGCAGAAAAAAACAATTTTGCTTAATATGTTACTCCTGGAGATCCTTGGGGAAATTGTGAAGGGTCTGTAGACCCTCTGGATGTTGTCACATATAAATGCTTTTACTTTTCAGGAAGGATCATGGTGTGTCTGAGGGTCCTTTGTGGAAAGTGAGATAATTATCTTGCCCTTAATGGTTCTTGGTCAAAAGTCCACCTACTATATGAGATTTGTGCTTGCTCATTTTTTTGATTGCTTATTATTCGTCAAAATATGTGTTTTAGAGAGAAACCTATTCATATCTGAAATAAGATAGATTTATTATCCCAAATAAGAGAAAAGATTGAGATTGAGTGTCAGTGTGAACCTTCCTTTTCTACCCTAAGAGAATAAAACGGATTGGGGGCAGTCACCTGGATGCCCAGCTGACTGATAGAGTCAGTCCCCATCCCGCCCTGTCTCCTGCACTGGCCTGGTGAACCTTTCCAGTACCAGGGGAGAGGCCTAAGGTTATCCAGAGAAAAGAGAAAGTTCAATCCAAAGCACCATGTTCTATAGGCATCTGACCTGAAGGTGGATGGGTGGGAGCACAGGACGCTGTCCGTCAAACAAATGCTCTAGTAGTCGAGGTTGGAAGGGGTCCACTTTCTTGATGTATAGATGGGCAAACTGAGGGCCAGAGAGGTGAAAGCCTCGCCTGAGGCCACTCTGCTTGGCAGCGGCTGGGCTGAGACTTCAATCCAGCTCTCTCAGTTCCCAAATATTATCCTCTCTACCAATCCGGAGTGCAAATGTCATTTGTTTACAAGTACTTATTAGCTGTCCTTCCCTTCTGGAAGACTCGGATTTCTTAAATGGCATCTGGATTGTGTGTTTCTTTCATTTATATTTGTATTAGAGAAAAGAATGGATTCTGTACTATGGTGTATTGGTATGATCTGTGGCACAAAAGCAAGCGTGAGACATCACTTGGCTTCTGGATTCCGAGCAGCACTTACCCATATTGAACAACACCCATCAGTGGGCCGGCAGGACCAATGTCAAGAGCTTGGGCAACATCAGTCAGGAATTGTTTCTGGATTCGGAATCGACGTTTGCCAATGCCTGAACTCCCGTCAATTAGAAATGACAAGTCAACTTTGCAGTCTGAGGAACAGGAAAGGACTCCGTTACTCTGATTATGTCTCCTTTTATTCGCTCCCCTCTTTCTCCACCAGAACCCCCTGAGATTCCAATGAAAAGAAAGTAAGAAGTATCAAGATACAGGGTGTATTCATTTATTCCTATCAGTAACAGATTTTCACTGGGCATCAAGTTCTGCTCATTTTTTTGATTGCTTATTATTCGTCAAAATATGTGTTTTAGAGAGAAACCTATTCATATCTGAAATAAGATAGATTTATTATCCCAAATAAGAGAAAAGATTGAGATTGAGTGTCAGTGTGAACCTTCCGTTTCTACCCTAAGAGAATAAAACGGATTGGGGGCAGTCACCTGGATGCCCAGCTGACTGATAGAGTCAGTCCCCATCCCGCCCTGTCTCCTGCACTGGCCTGGTGAACCTTTCCAGTACCAGGGGAGAGGCCTAAGGTTATCCAGAGAAAAGAGAAAGTTCAATCCAAAGCACCATGTTCTATAGGCATCTGACCTGAAGGTGGATGGGTGGGAGCACAGGACGCTGTCCGTCAAACAAATGCTCTAGTAGTCGAGGTTGGAAGGGGTCCACTTTCTTGATGTATAGATGGGCAAACTGAGGGCCAGAGAGGTGAAAGCCTCGCCTGAGGCCACTCTGCTTGGCAGCGGCTGGGCTGAGACTTCAATCCAGCTCTCTCAGTTCCCAAATATTATCCTCTCTACCAATCCGGAGTGCAAATGTCATTTGTTTACAAGTACTTATTAGCTGTCCTTCCCTTCTGGAAGACTCGGATTTCTTAAATGGCATCTGGATTGTGTGTTTCTTTCATTTATATTTGTATTAGAGAAAAGAATGGATTCTGTACTATGGTGTATTGGTATGATCTGTGGCACAAAAGCAAGCGTGAGACATCACTTGGCTTCTGGATTCCGAGCAGCACTTACCCATATTGAACAACACCCATCAGTGGGCCGGCAGGACCAATGTCAAGAGCTTGGGCAACATCAGTCAGGAATTGTTTCTGGATTCGGAATCGACGTTTGCCAATGCCTGAACTCCCGTCAATTAGAAATGACAAGTCAACTTTGCAGTCTGAGGAACAGGAAAAGACTCCGTTACTCTGATTATGTCTCCTTTTATTCGCTCCCCTCTTTCTCCACCAGAACCCCCTGAGATTCCAATGAAAAGAAAGTAAGAAGTATCAAGATACAGGGTGTATTCATTTATTCCTATCAGTAACAGATTTTCACTGGGCATCAAGTTCCTGGATGCTTGGGCCAGGACTCATTTCCACAACGGCTTTGGAATTCTCGGTAGCAGCCACAATTACAGACTTCAGAAGCAGTGACCTTCCAGTCCAATTGGGGAAGGCCCTCAGGATGGTTTCCTGTGCTCAGACCCCCAGAGGTGGGGATCCACTGAGACTGAGTCTCTGGAGCTTATGGCTTTTCACTCTTATCCTAACATTTTAGAATTAAGTATTGTGTCTTTGTAAAGGTGGGAAAGGTCAGTGCTGAAGGGAGGGCAGGAATTGTAGAAAGAGGAATTGATACCAATCTTCACCTCCCTGGGTGAGGCAATCATAGAAATTACCCATATGTATCTATAGATATCAGTACTTGTTTATAGCCATCTTAAGATTTTTTTCCCTTTCTTTTAGTTGTGATAAAGATGAGGACAGTTGTTCTGGCTAGGTTCTCTGGATCTCTGCAAATATATGAAGGCTATATTCTCCGTCATTTGGAAGACGGAGGTGGGAGGAATGGTGGGGCTGCAAGCTGTTTTCAACCTTGACACTAATAAGAATTGGTAGGAAGTCACATTCATGAGTAGAATTTAGTGTCTTCTTTGCTCTTGACTGAAATTATAGCATTTCAGTATGATAAAACTGATTATTCAATGTTGATCGGAAGTTCTTATTAGGAGGTATATATTTCTTTGATTAATAAAAAATGAGGAATGAATTATTTAACAACTGCAATTTGGGAGAAAAAAATATTTCAAAACAGAGTTCTATGGAGAAAAAAACAAGAGAGAGACAGTAAAGTTAGGAATTTGTGGTTGGTAGTGTCCTCTATGGGTGGGGGCGCAGCTGCCGAGGTGAGTCAGGATCCCTCTCAGCTGCTGCCCAGTCGTCCATGAAGCTGCCCCGGGGCTCTGTTCCCTGCACTCAGCTGCACTGCTGCCATGTGCCTGGGGTCCTCCCGTTCCCCAGGAGGTGAGGGTCCACAGGCAGGGAGGGTTTTTTTTAAATGAAAGCAAGAAATGGACAGACATTGACAGTTTTAAGCAGAATATTTACTGCAAAGTGATACTATAGAACTGGCAGATAAAGGAGAAAAGTTAAATCTGAAATGTGCTTTATAATCTTGCAGTGGTACGCAGCAATGAAAACCAGAGAAGTAAGCGATGACAAAGACTACTCTGGGCCTGACTGATTGCACCTGAAATTGGTGCCTCAGCTCCTTAGCAGATCTTGTAAGCTTTTACCTCCTGTCTGCCTGGACATTCAGTGTCTACCAACTCTTCCTGTTCCGCTGGTTTCCCCTGTACTTTGTCGCCTTAAAACTGCTACATCCAAACGTGATCCTTGACGTGAAGATTAGAAGAAGCAACTAGAATCAAGAAGTACAGTTTACAGTTGTCCCTAAAGCCTCGGATAAAACAAAAGTGAGGCAGAACTGCTCTATGTCTTGTCCTGTTGTACCGCAAACAGGGCCAACTCATCCTTTCCCAGGCCTAAGCTTGCAATATGAATTGTTGCCAGCAGGTGGCAGTGGTGTTCTTCAGGGCTCGTTGCCCACTGGCACCTGTGCTTGAAATGCTGACCCCCAAGTCCCACCCACACCTACAGAATCGGACTCGCATTTTAAGATCTCCAGGTGATCTGTGTGCACATTAAAGTTTGAGAAGCACTCCTGAAGAGGGGTTCTCCCTCCTGATGTCAGCAGTTTAGTTCACTATGCCTTTTAAAATGAAAACTATTGCTTAATACTGTTAATTAGAATAAAGGCCAAAAGGGATTTTCTTTTTAAATGAAGAAAGTACATGGATTTTTGTAGCCTTGTGTGGATAAAATGAAAGTTCCTGTGGCCGGGATTCTCACCTGGTCCTGGTTGACTGGCTCACTACACACATGTGGGCAATACGTTGCTATTGACTCTATGTAAAGAGCTCCGCCCAGTGCTATGGGCGACATGGTGGCAGGGCTGCAAGGCTGCAGAAGAGCAGAGCAGAGGCTGGAGTGGTAGCAGCGCTGAGGACAGAGGTCCAGAGGCAGAGACCGGCTTGCTGCATGCAGACTCGCTCTGAGTGAACGGGATTTTAGTGATTCACCTGTCATCGTGGAAATAAACTTGGGTATAACCCTTTCACCCCAAGAACGCTCTACTGTCATTTCTTTAGTCACATTGAATCCATAGTGAACTTGCCCAGGGCTGAAACCCATTAGCAAGACAATTAGCAACAGTCGGCAGGGTTTATTGGTGACTAAGGAAAAAGAACAGGCTGCCCTCAGGGAAGGAGTGTTCCAGCGGGCTTTACCTATGGATGGGGAGACATTCGAGTGTCCTCCTGTGGTCATGTGGTACTGTGAAGGGGTGAAGGACTGGGGTCCACCCCAAGAGAAAGCTGACTGAAATGGCATCACTACAAAGAGCCTGAGAGAAAGCAGCACGAGAAGAAGCAGTGTGGGAGTGCAGACTGCCAGGTGCCATGGGGCAGGTGAAGGATGCAGTGGAGCCATCAGCCCCAGAAATGGAGGAGCAGAGCCTTGACGAACAGGTCGGGGTGAAGGCCCTGCCAGTGCCAGAGGCATCGGCCCCTCCTTGGTTGAGAATGCCACCTGGTTGAAAGCTGGTGGGAAAGCCAGAGGGACTAGGCAACCGCAGGTTCCTCCAGGAGCGGTGCAGCCACCTCCCCATGCTCTGCTTCTATCCTCAGGCTCAAGCACAAAAGGAAATACAGTCTGCTTCTCAAAGGAAGAATTTAAAGGGCCTCGTGAAGGTCACAAGGATCCAGATGTGTGCTGGTTGGAAAAGGCAGGAGCAGACAGAAAGAAATTGGACTGGAGCTGTGGCAGTTGAGACCGGAGCAGTGGTTCCAGCCGCTGAGGAGAAAGCAGAAGGCAGAGATAAAGCAACAAGATTGGCCTGTGTGTCTGCAAGACTTCATGCTGGAGAGGCTGGAGAAGGTGGGTATTGTAAGGCCCACCCATGGTCCTTTTGGTTAACTCCTTTGAGTAGAACTGGTTTGAATACAGCCAGGATGCAATGGATCTCCTTAGGTTTGAGGGTCATTATAATTTGTTGTAATTTTTGTTATTTGTATATTGTCATAGCCTCTGTTGCTATGGAATTTGGTTACAATGCTCCAGCTTTTTCACACAGGGACCATTGCAGAGGACTGAGGGCACATAGATTGAGAGGAGAGAATTCTGGAGGGGTGGAGTGTGGCTAAAATGAAAGTTCCTATGGCCAGGATTCTCACCTGGCCCTGGTCAGCTAGCTCACTACACACGTGTGGGCAATACGCTGCTATTGACTCTATATAAAGAGCTCCACCAAGTGCTCTGGGCGACTCGGTGGCATGGCTGCAAGGCTGCAAGAGAACAGAGCAGAGGCTGGAGTGGTGGCAGCACAGAGGACAGAGGCCCAGAGGCAGAGAGGCCCAGAGGCAGAGACCAGCTTGCTGCATGCAGACTCGCTCTGAGTGGACAGGATTTTAGTGATAGAACTGCCACCGTGGGTATAAGCCTTTCACCCCAATAACATTCTACTGTCATTTCTTTGGTCACATTGAATCCATAGTGAACTTGCCCAGGGCTGAAACCCATTGGCAGAACACCTTGATTACGGTTTTTCATGGACAGTTTTTCTCCTTATTTCTTACATCTTGAACTGTGTTCAGGATTGATGTGCTTATTTCATAGCTAGGTTTTAAGAAGGTGAGATGTTTCTCTTTTTGCTTAGCTCTCTTTATCACTAGCCTGGTGACTAGCATCAGGTCACCTCTGCTCCCCCTTTCCCAGAAGGTTTTAATGACAGTGGTCATGGCTCAGGGCGCATGCTCACTGAGACCTAGTGACTTTCTCATACAGAGATGGAAACATGCTGATTTGAAGATAACATCAGTACCAAAGGGTAGAACTGGGGTTATGAAATGCTCAGCCTGAGTGATTTATTTTGGGTCACAGGGAGAGAGGTTGGAGGATGAGGAAGAAAAAGTAAGGTATAGAGTCTGCAGGAATCAGTCCATCAATTTTCTGGATTGCTTTGGTTTTCTCCAACACAGTACAACTGTATAGATCAATGCCTTTGTGTTGTCCGATACGTTAGGCCAGTATTTCTTAACTCTGGGTACGTATCAGAGTTGCTTATGCAGCTTCAACCAGTAAAGATGCATGGGAATCTCTCTGGGCTGTGCTTCTCAAGGGTTAGTGTGCAAAGGAGCCACTTGATTCGGTAGGTCTGGGGTGCAGCCTGAGATTTTGCATTTCTGACAAGCTTCCAGGTAATGCTGCTGGTCCTCAGACCACATTTTGTGTAGTAAGATCCAGGGATTCACTGAGGATGAGGCAGGAACTGAGCATGTTTGTGTCTTTAAAATGCCTTCAGATGTTTCTCATACACACTGACTTGAGGCTCACTGCCCACTGGGTGCTGCCTGGTACTGACTTTCTGAGGGAATTCACAGGCACTCTTCTAAGTTTATCACACACAGTACTCCCCTCTGCTTTTCCTCTTTTCCTGGGGTCCCTCTTTCTGGTATCCTCCGGGGGCTCCTGTCCCACCTATTCAGTATGGAAGTTCTTCAGGGTTAAGTCTTCTGGTCCTTCTTGCTCTGTCCTGTCTCCCTAGGTCACATCTCTTCTCATAGCCTTGATTTTGAACCATAGCTCATCAACTTCCAACTCTAAATTTCCAGCTAGGATGTTTTTCTTTTTGTTTTCCTTGAATGTCAGATGTGGATAGTCAACTCTTTACTAACCCCAATGTCTCAGGGAAGATGATAGACATAAATGATCGCCCTGTCTCTCCACCTGCTCTGTCCACAGGCGTCCTCATGGCAGTACCGTTAATCCCAGTTGCTCATGTCTTTAACTGCTTCCTCCCTTGCACCTCCACTTCTAGCCCTCTAGAGTCTCCCTTCCCTGTCCCTTGAATCTGCCTATTTCTTGCATTTCCACTTCCAACTCAGAGCTCTGTCTACCATTGTCTCCACTGGACCAGCATCCCTGCTGGCCAGCCGGTCTCCTCCTTTCATCCACCCTTGCCTCCCATTCCATCCCACCCTGTTGCCATAGAGATGTTTTAAAACTCTGATCTCTTTCCCCTCATGCACACAAACAGTTTAAATCCTTCCAAAGTTTCTCTTTCCCCCTTTAGAACAAAGTGACAGAGGAGAGGAGATAAATAGACCTAGGGCAGGAGAGAGAAGGATTTGGGTGGGGAGTGACTGGGTGGAGAGGAGAGAGCAGATCGGATGTCAGAGCCACAGTGGGGTTTCTAGTTGTCAGTTAACTTACTGGGATCTCCCTGGGATACTGGCTCCGAAGACTGTGTGCTTAATTCTTCTTTCTGAACAAATCCTGGGAAGAGTAGTAAAACTTTTGGTGACTCACAGGAACAGGAAGCATCTGGCTTTACCCCAGGGAAGGGGATATACTGGATATTCACACCCAGCTCAGGCTCTTGGCTTGCTGCTAACTTGCTCCTCCCCACAGCACCCCTATCATAAGAAACAAGAATAATTTGCCGAAAGCCCACTAAAGACTCAGTACAGTACTCTCCTGGGTGCTCAGATGGATTTGAAGTCAGAGGACTTGAGTTCTGTTCCCTGCTAACTGAGTCCATCTGAGACTTAGTTTCCTTATCTGAAAGCATTAAGCACTCTGCCGGTGTAAAAGTCTGAAGTTCTCAAGGTCAGGGCATGTGTCTTGCTCATCATATAAACCCTCACTGTGCCCACCACCTGCAGGTTCTCCGTCAACATTTCGTGGTTGAGTCAATGAACAATAAGTGAGATGCAAGAAGACAATCTAATGAAGGTTGGGTGGAGGTGGCAGAGGAGAGGCAAGATACAAGCGATGCCAACGAGGACGAGTCTCAGATGCAGCCCATCCCCCTCCAGGAACTCCAGGAATTTAGAGGTAAAGATGCAAAAGGGTTTCATGCTTTGAAAGGCGCTGTGTGTGTGTGTGAAATTTCAGCTTCAAGGGTTTTTAGATCCATTTACGTGGGAGCCAGTTCACAAATATATCATTTAAGAAAATGAACACAAAAGAATTAATAAATAAGAATCTTTTTAGGCTTGGTAAGGCCAATGAGTTTCTCAGGCAGATGGAAACTTGGAGCCCCAGAAGTGAGTCTCCCTGAGTCCAGGACGCCCAGCAGAGGAAGGTATGGGGGCTCTCTCTTGCCTGCAGTGGGCTTTCTCCAGGCATGGTAGTGCTTCCAATCTGCAAAGCACACGATTTCCTCTTCCCATGTAAGTTCAGTTTGCTCATCCCTACTTCCTCAAATCATTTACAAGATTCCCTTTGGGTGTCCAAGGGCATTTCTCAGGCAAGCCTCTCAGGGAAGCGGCCCAAGGCTGCACGTGGAGGGAGGGGAAGAAATCCAAGTCCAGGGACCTGAGTCTTTCCTCCGCTCTGCCTCTCGCCTCCCAGTAAAATCTGCTCTTGGACCAAGAGCTGGAACCCAGTGTTTCTTATTGGATTTCAAACACTTAATGCAGTAAACAGGGAACAACACTCACTCAGGTGGAAAACCCAAACACCATTTTGTAAAGAAGGAAGGAGAAATAGAAAGTCAAAACCTGCTCCTGGAAGGACTGAGTGTCTCAACCTATTTTGGGGCGGGGAACTCGCTTCCTCTGACTCCTTGTCTTCATGCCTCCCTGTGGGGGTTTCAGTGTGGCCCCTCACGTGGTCCTCAGGCCCTAACACCAGGGGTGAAAGCCCCTGGAAAGGCTGTTCCGGCTGAGCTTGGCCTCTGAGCCACCAGCTGTATTATTAGATCCTCCTAGTTCTGTGATCCTATGAAAAGCCTGGTACCTTCATGACCAGGAGGCTGGGCTGTATAATTACCTGTATCTAAAAGGGCCCATCCATGTTTCCACAAGTCAGTTTCCCCTGATTGTCAAAATTAAAAGAAACAAATTTGTTATTTGCATCAAACTAGCAGACCCTCTCAAGTGAACCGCCAGGAGGATAAGTGTTCGAACTGTGGCAGTTCAGTAAAGGGGCGTGGGAGCAGACTTTTGGAAGAAGCAACCTGAAATTTGTGTGATTTTCTCATTTAGATCTCTTAAAGCCAAAGACATCTTGCCCTTCTCTTTTTTTCACTGTGCACCAAGAATAATGGAATAATAGGGATCCTGGGACTTAGGGGGACCTAAAAGCTCATCCAATCCAAACCAACCCCCCTCTCCAGCATGCTTCTACAACATCCCTACCAAGTGAGTAGATGGCTGGGGCTTGAACACCTCCAGAGACAGGGAACTCATTACATACCCAACCAAGGTAACATGCCCCTTCTTAGACTATTGAGACTCTGAGAAAATTTTTCACTGGGGTTTGAAGTCTTTCTCCCTCCATCTATCCATCCCTCCATCCCTCCATCCACATTTCATAAGCACCAATATGCACCAACATCATTGTAGGCATGTTTGGCTCACCAATCCATTATGTTCTCCTCTGTGGAACTACGCAGGACAAATGTGGCCCCTAGAGGGACTGGCTGTGCACTCACTACCTGACATTCTGCTGCTCGCTGTGCCTCAAGCAAGATAAAGCAAAGTGGCACCTGGCATTCTATGTAGAGTAACATGTTTACCACCCTCCCTGCACACTGGTGCTGAAGAAGTGGAAGGCAAGATTCTTACCCAATAGTCCCTGATCTTTTCTGAGGAATCACAGTTGGGAGGGGCTCAGAGGCAGCACCAGCATATTAGGAAGCCTCATAAGGATACCAAAATGGCTGTTCTCTCCATTTCCAGCACAGAAAGCTGAAAACTGAGGGCGTAATCAACTGTTCCTTAAAGGCCGTCAGTTTTGCTGCGTGCTGGAATTATTAACACACTCAAAAGAAGTGATAGTTTTCATCACATGATTAAGATGCCAGGCTGTTTTGAAAGGCAGTCTGGCTCTCTTGCACATTCTGATTTAATGGTGAGAATTGGTTTAATTTGGCTCAGCCATTAACCAGGTGTATGACCTTAAACAAATCAGATACTCTCTGAACCTTAATTTCTTTGTGAATAACATTAGCACATGAGTGAAATGACCTCCATGTTCAAAATATTTATGATTTATATGTTTGAACATTTTGCTTTTTTAGCCTTATTACTCTATCGCCATCTGCTGGTAAAAATCCCTGCTTTGCCCTTTCTTTAGTAAAACAGGCTGCTGACATCTGTTTTAGGCCAAGGCTTTCAGCACCCTTGAATGTTTTCAAGAATTAGAATGCTGGATGCTCTGTTGCAGGAGATAAATAATGCCTGGACATCAGAGATTTCCAAGCCTCTTCCTCCAGTCTTGGAAGCCTATCTTTCTATTAATGGCACTTTCATTTGTTTGGGACAACTTTGAAACACATCACTTTTATTCAAAAGCCAAGGGCTGGAATATATCTGGACAGCTGAGACCTGGTGTTTTTGGACTTGATAGTAATGGGGAGTAAACGTGTGAGCACATTTGTGGAGGAGTTTGGGTGGCACGGGGAAAAGGAAATGGGAAGACATGCCCTGGGTCTACTGAACACTAGGTGCGGGCTTGTGGGACTCCCCCACCTTCTCTCGTCTGAAGTTTTCTCCTGTGTAAAGCGGAGGTCACAAAGCCTTGTCCTGCCTTGTCTCACAGCAAGGTAAATGCATACAAAATCACTCTGAAAAGTGTAAGGCAGTCTTAAAAAACGGAATCACTTTTATGACGATCCTTGCTTGGTCATCTTAGAAAATAGTGTCTCAGAGAACTATTGGTTCTGAACAATTTCCATGCTAAAAATGTACATTACCATTTACTGAGCACATGCTTCATGCCAGGCACTGACCACACTGTGAGTTAGGGACAACTGTGGCCCCATTTTACTGGTGAGAAACTGATGCACAGGGCGGCAGAGCCGATGCTGCGGCCCCGGCGGGCAGGCTCCAGAGCCTGCACTTAACCACCACTGATTATCACTCACGAGGAGCAGTCATGGGAGCTCAGTTAGGCCTCCAAAAGGCACTCTCCCTGGACCTCCCATAAAGTGAGGGCCCGGAGCCGTCCCTGCTCTAAGGCACATCTGGGAGACACAGCACAGACCCAAGCGGGTGCTGCCACACACAGCCATTAGGACCCTAAAGTTTTATGGGGCAGCAGCATCGGCGGCCCATCAGCTCCCTGGTTTCTCCCCAGTGGCTTCCCCGAGGTGCAGGTTTTAGGAGGAGGTGACAGTCTGAGGGGCAACAGTCCTGGGGGGCTGGAGGAGTCCCCACACCTCCCTTCCCTCAGCCTGGCTTCATGCCCCGAGGGCTGCACGTTTCCTATGGAGGGTTCCTCCTGCAGCAGACAGCAGCTGCAGCTGTGCGGAAGCCAGCACACCAGGGCTGCTGGGGAGGGCTGAGCACACCAGGGCTGGCTGCGAGCCATCTGCCAGAGGAACGATTGCCCCAGGTCCACAGTGGGTTACCCTCCAAAACTGGGGGTGGGATATTTGTCTAGGACCTGGCAGCCTTTTCTCATGGAAACACTAATGCCACAGTTAAAAGTCCAGGCCAGCGAAGCTTATTTGATTAAACAGACTCGTGGTACCATGGAGCCAACAGCAAAGGCATGGTGCCGAAGAGAAGTCACCCAGCAATCACTTAAATTGTCAGGAGCACGCACGCCCTGCCTCTGTCTGGGAGTACGGTTGGAACAGCCATGCTAAGCGGGCCCTGGTAGGAGGGGTGGGGGCCTGGCAGTGGACCTGGGAGGCAGTGGCGTTGCTGTTGCTCCTGGAGAAGGAGCGTGTGGACCTCTGAAGGCAGAAGTTTCAACAGCAGAATTCTAAACCCTGGAAGTATCTGATTTGCCTTTGTCATTCTAACACATTACCCAGTGTCAGATATATAGCATGTTCAGTAAATATATATATTTATTAAAGAGCATTCCTCTGCAGTGGGGGCAGTAGCTTAAACTGGGAATGTGTGAAGTCACACCTGTGGGCAGAGGGCAGAGGGGAGGGGGTAGCAGGAATCACTCGTGCATTGTTTATCTGGTGTCCTATGCAGGAGAGGATGAAATACAGAGGCCAATGACAACATCATTAGGTCCATACATAGCTGCGTGTGCCTGGCAGGGGGGTGCAGTAAACACTCATGAAGTGTTTAGTGGGGCTTATGAGACTCGGTCTCATGTGATGTATTTTTATCAGTGACTAGAATGGGGACAGGTGCATGTTAATTTCGTGGAAGACAGAAAAGATGGAAGGATAGTACTATACTCCATGAGAGTTAGGACTCAGGAAGATGGCAACAGACTAGACTATGGGAGAGTTTACTACAGATAAGTGTGATACAGTAAAGTGGGTGCAAAGACTCAATTGCACGAAGACAGGACTGGTGTGAGCTGATTCTGTAGAGTGCAAGAGGAAAAATCCTGGGACTCTAGTTTTTGCCAGTTCAGTAAGAGATGGAACGATGGTGAGGCAGAGCTTCCCCCAAATGGCACTTGGGATGTCCTAATAGAGGCAGAGCATTTAGGACAAAAGCGGCAATTCCCTGGCACACGACCCCGTGGCACTGTGTTCTGCTCCGGATGTCCTGTTCCGAGTCATTAACAGACAGCAGTGTAGTTAGAGAATGCACTGCCAGGTCACGTGAGGACCTGTTGGAGGAACTGGGGAAATTTATCCTAGAAAAGATGAGCCATACAGGAGGGCATGAAAGCTCCTTTCATATATTTTAAAGTCTCTCAAACTTACATTCTTAAAAATTATTGAAGACCAAGAAGAGCTGTTGTTTGTATGGGTATATCTATTGATTTTTCTCAGATTGGAAATTAAAACTGTGCATTCTTCCATTTGAAACAGAATATTAACTAATTCACTATTCATTCATTTAAAAATAAGAATAGTTCTTTTGTATTTTAACTTTTTTAAGAAGAACAACTGTTTTCTAAAACAGGAGTACAGTGAGAAGACAGGCAAATTTCTTCAATGTCTGGTACAATAAAAGGCAGGTTGAATCTTATATCAGTTCCTTCAATCTCTTGTGATTGGTTGTTTTGGTTGAAGTATAGGAAGAAAATCTGGCCTCACACAGGTATGTAGTTGGAGAAGGGAGAGCTTCCCAGAATCCCTGAAAGCAGGGTCCTCAGACCGCACTTTGAGGAGCAGTATATTAGACGAATTAGCAACAGTGGTTTTAAGTTCTAGATAGTTCTGTCCAACAATGAATGGGCTCGGGAATCCCCAACCACTCAGAGTTAATCTGATATTGAGGAAAAACCTCTATCTGGCATGCCGTTAGGGATTCATTTTTTTTGTGGGAAATTTAGATGTACTTTATATGGTTTTTTCTCATTCCATGGTGATGATTTTCCAGCTGATAGGCACAATTATAACTAGGTGAGGGCCAGTTGAAGGATATCCAAGAGGCCCAGACGTCCTGACCTGCCTTTCCTCGTGGTGTGCCAGGGATTCCCCCACCTGGAGGAGCCCACCGGGTTCACGGCCAGGTCTGCATTCCCTGGGAGTTGGTGGAGGGTCTGAGGTGCTCAGAGCAAAGTTGCAGGGATGATGGTAGAGGAAGAGGAACAGCAGAAATGGGTAGAATTTGAAGGTAAAAAAGTAGCTGGGAGCATCTCTTGGGCCACCAAGAGACAGCAGAGTTATTGGGAGCATGAAGGAGAAAGGATGGAAGAAGAAACAAAGACTCAGAGCTAGAGACCTGGTGTAACTGCTGCGGGAAAGCATGTTGCCACCCGGGGCGAACAAGCCTGTGAGGCTGGAATCAGTCAAGGGGAAAAAACCCTGAACAACTTCTCTCCGCCCCTCAGAAACACCTATTGATATGGACACGGACTAAGGCCAGGTGGGAGACTCTGGAAATAGTGCAATTTTACCCACACCTGCAAACAGTGACGTCAGAAAAGGGGATGGGGTCACATGCTGCAAATACCCTTGAGTTTTTGGGCAGTGGAAAGGTCATATGCCTTGCTGCGAACTACCCCCAAGGCCTGTCTGAATCATGTGGTGTGCCTTGTATTTGTGCTTTGTCCCAGAGGCGGGTCCTGGGGTGGACAAAGTGGGGACATGGGCTGCCCCCATCTGGGGGCTTCTCAAGCAGACCCAAACCCATGAGAGTCCTTGGATACCTGGACTGGCAGAAAGTTTCTCTGTGACACCCCCAGAACAGACAAAGAAGAGACATCTTCTAGAGGCTAAAACAAGTTGGCAGCCCCCAGACTCTGGTGCCCCATCGTGGTGCGCCGGAGGACAGTCGTGGCTGGGGCGGGGGGAGGCGTTTGCAGAGCTGCGGAGCAGCAATGTTAAGCAGCAGGCTTACCCAGGCTGACAGGCACTCCGGCAGATTTCTGGAAAGCAGCTCCGGGAGAATCCTGCCTTTGGATTCCTGAGGAGATTCCACAGTGTCAGCTGATTTGCATGCAATCAGCAGTCTGCCTTCTTCCCTTCCCTTTGCCCCCTGATGAAAATGCCCCTTGTTCAGATTCTTCTTGGATGTCACCTAAGCTCTCTGTGGTTGGCTCTACTTTTGGAGGTGGCAGAGGAGGCAAGGATCCTGGCCAACGGGACAAGAGGAGGGAGTGCCCTGTGCTTGGCTGCCTGAACAGTCCCTTAGGCCAGCCAAAGCCTAGGATGGCCTTGAGTCCTTGCCCTGCCCAACAATCTGATTCTTAAGCTCTTTGTCCAGGCTGATAGCATGTACATTGACAAAGGTGCAATTGTGAAGCTCATGGAAGCTGCTAACCCTGTGCAAGGGACCACATGGTGCCCTTGCTCCCATCCGGTGTCAAAACAAACAGTACCTGCAATCACTAGAAATCTTTTAACACTTGGAGGACACACAGATATCCCCCAGCAAGAGTAAGACCTGAACTCTTTCTTTGGAGGCCCAGATCCCCATCCTAGTGCCCTAGAGCTGCAGAGGAAATCGTGCACTTCTAATCAATTGTTTCAGCTCATGGTCCAGGCCCTGAGCAGAGTTTGTGGAAAAGCATCTAACCCTGTTTGATTTTCCTTTCTAATCTCTGCAGGCCTCAACAGCATTGCAGAGAACTTTCTTCATCCCTGAGCATTCCCAGTGATTGGGCCAAACCTTTAAGGCAGTGACACAGAACTGAAGAAAGAGGAGCCAGGGAGTGTCCTAATGCACAGGAGAATTCCTGGGGGAGAAAGTATTTCTGTTCCCCATATCATAGGAGTAGCCAAGCACTTCCTGGGAAGTGATGAACATTTCTTCCTTTTACCCTACTTCCTCAGGTATCAACCCCAAAGAGTATTCCTTTTCAGCTTTATAAAAGCCTAGTTATTGAATGCTTAGGAATTTCTATCAACCTCCACAAAAAGGGATTGACGACAGGTGAGCCATTTGCTTACTTAATGGCTTCCTTACTTTACTTACAACTTACCTTGAGCAGTATCTTCTGTTGACATCACTGGCTTAATATTTCTATCCAAATCTAAACCAAATGGCAAGGGTTTGGAAAGACAGACCACATGTATACAAGCTTCATTTCCATCGGTAGCTAGAAAAGGGGAGTTCAGGTTCTTACCTGCAGTGGCTCGGGGGTTGTTTTGCCTGCTCACGTAGGTGGTGGTGGACCAGCGATCTGTAATAACATATGACTGGTCAGAGCATAAATTTTAAAATAACTGTTTTCATTGTTTCCATGACCCAGCCTGACAGGACATTACCGAGGTCAGAACTAAGGTAAAACTTTGTCCTCAGGCAGTCTGGACCTGCCCTGAGGAGGCACTGAAAGGTTAAAAAAAAATGGATTTAACTCAAAACACTGCCTGGAAATTCCAGGTAATAACAACCCTTGTATTTCAGTTGTTAAATTAAGTGTCTTTTACTAAAGTGCCATATATCTTTACACTACATTATTCTTAGAATAATTCTCCTTAACTGCGCCACTCCTGAGGAGGTCAAAGTAATTCTTCAACAGAAATGTCACTTAACATTTAGTGATTTGCTTGAACTGCATTAACACGGTACTGATGCAAAGTAGCATTAGCTTTCAGTCATTTTTAAAGGTACACAATGGGTTATCCTTACTTTGGGAGAGAATCACATATACTTCAGCATTCATTATTTACTGGGCATTTCCTGTGAAGCAAGGTCGAAATGGGAGAAGGGGCCTGGAGGATTCTGAAGAGAGATGCAAAGCCCATTTTAGGGGAAAGAGGCCCATGTAAAAACCAGCTGAGAGAAAGAACCAAGTTTCATGGAGAGGAAGAGATAAGAGGTCATGAAAAAATACCTGTTTCTCCTACAACCAAACCTGTCATAATCAACTTTTCACTTCTTTTATCTTCGTTCCAATTGTTGGGTACGAACTCCGAGCATCTCTATTTTCTTAAGATGACACATTCTCATTGCACATATTAACTAAGAAATCACCTGCAATCCCTCTATCCAGCAGTCACCAGTATATAATTTTGGCATAAAGTGTATCCTTTTTTCTATGCCTACCTCCTCTTCGTGGGTTGGGAGAAACCCTGTCTTTTCCTGCTCCAAAGTTTCTCCTCTCTACTGGACTCCAAGTTCCTATGTCCTGTCGGAGAAGCAGCTGTTTACCTCATTGTAGAGCAAAGATAACTCATAGACCCCCAAAGCAGCTGCTTCTGTCTGGCCACACACTTCTCAGGTGTCCTGTGCCGGAGTGACCTACTGCAGGGACCTTGTTAGGCTGTATTCACTAATGTGGCCTAAGATCCTAGAACAGTGCCTGACTCATAGGAGGCACTCAAGAAATATTTGTTGAATAAATAAATGAATTAGGTCTTACTTGATCACCCCATCCACAACCATTTCTGGGATCTTTTGACTATAGTCACATATAAAAGAGAAAAAAAAACCTTTAATAAATGCAGAAACAGCAACTTATTTGTCTATCAGCAGTCAGAGAGTTGCTGTCTTATAGTTGGAGGAATATTTTCAGCTCATTTGAAGAAAAAAAGACATCTGTATACTAAATATTATTTAACATAGTTGGGCTAAAATACCACAGTAAGTATCTGTGGTCATACATTAAGATCAGCATTCGTGATAGTAGACTGGGGTTCTGAGGGCTGGGGGTTAGGCTGAGTTCTTGGGTAATGGGGTTTACTTTTAGGGTGATGAACATATTCTGGAGTTGGTCTGGTGATGGCTGGTCTGTGAATGTACTAAAAACCATTGAATTGTCCACTTTAAATGCGTGAATTGTATGGTCTGAGGAAAGTATCTCAATAAAACTGTTATTAAAAAAAAAACATAGGCGTTCAACCATCAGTTCCACTTCTCTTCATTCCTACAGAAAATCCTTTCAGTAGGCAATACTGGTTTTTACAGGTCCTCCCTCCCTCCCTAGTTTGGCTCCTTTCTTGGCAATTTCAGAGCAGCCGCCCCAAGTGCCTGCCCAGAGTGTTTGCCCAGCCGCCTGGGCGGCAGCACGGGTGTGGGTGCTGGCCCGGGATGAAGAAGGAGCAGACGGGCTGGGAGGCTGCTGGCCAAGGCCCCTGTGCCCGGGCCAGGAATAACGAAGCTTTGCCAGGGTGGGAGCCACTACTTCAAGTTGCTTGGGGTTTCCACAAGCGCAGGCCCAACTTGTCACAGGATTTCCAAGCTCCCAGCGTAGGCAAATAAATATGCCACGTGTTTACTTATATGCGTTATGTAAAAATTGACTCTAAGGAGACACTGGGAGCAAACAACTTAGTTATTCAAAAATCTTGGAAAGAATCAAGGGTTCTATAAGTCAAGAGCCTGAAATGAAGAAAAAGGGAAACTTCTGGCTATTCCTGACACCAGGGTCCCTCCTCACTATTTCTCTTTTGCCACCAGATGTTGTGTGTCTGTGCTCATATCAGCCTGAGTCATAGAAGAATAAGATGCTGGTGGTGGGGTCTAATGTATTTCAGAAATTATTTTTATGGTATTTTTAGTTTGGCATTTTCTATCACAGCTGCTTCTATGAGTCATTCATTGGGCGGAATAATATAATCCCTATTCAGCAGAGTGTTGGGAAGAGTAAATAAAAGAATGCATATGCCGTATGCCCAGCCCAGGGAAGGCGTGGACCACGGGTGTTCTGTTATTATTATTAGTCGCAGTGGGAGCTAGCTGGGTCTAACACCCTCTAATCTTGCCACCCCACTCTTGTCAAGGCAGGTCAGGCCTCCGTTTCGGTGATGCCTCGTTAGTGCCCGGGATGTTCGTGTGGGGCAGAGACTCCTACGAGGGGAGTCACGGGAGAGCCAGGCTGCCGGGGTCTGGATCTCGGCTCTGCTGCTTCCCAGCAATATGGGGTTACTTTGAGGACTTCATAGGCTAATACTTGTAAGGCGCTCGGAAATGTGTCTAGCACACTGAAAGTGCTTATTCATATTTGTTCAGTAAGAAGATGACTAGAGAGCTGGGCTCTGATACAGAAGGGAGGTAGGCCCGTGCTATGCAGCGGTGAGGCTGAAAGGAACAAGTTCTGGGCACTTTTTCCTAGAACGAAAAAGTGACACCAGGTGGGAAATATTTAGAAAAAGGGGCTGTGACAATAGCGGCACTCCAGCTGAGCAGATTTCCACACCCCTGCCGGAAGACCTTTAGAAATGAGATAGGCCCTGATTATCCCAGGATGGCTTACGTATAAGCCTGTGTCAAAACTGGAAATTGGATTATCAAATGAGCCCTTAACATTGTATTTGATGTGATGGTGAGATTAATTCCATAACCAGGGCTTTGGTAAAATCTAAGACACAGTTTAGGAAATGGATGCAAGTGATAAGATAAAAAGAAATCAGAAAAGGAATAAAGATTTTTATTTATCTGACTTTTCCTAAAGGGGTTCTTCTGGGTTTGTTTGCTTCTAATATTTGAAGGTTTCCAGGAATATACAAGTTGTCACTTGAAGCAAAACAAAACTCAGCAATGTTTACATAGGAACCTACTATCCCTTTAACTGAGCCTGTGGAGAAATGAGGAATTTGCAGTGAGAGTTTCATGTAATAGCTGACCTTCCAAAGGATAACAGCAGTCTTATTTTCAAATCTACCTTAAGCCCCTTCTACCTGGTTTGCGTAGCTCTTAGCTTGGCCCTGAATTATTATGGGGCTCAAGTTTACTCCTTGAATCTGGGAGGACATGACCACGTACTCCAGGCCCAATCTCAGGCACTCCCCCGTCACCCAGCTCAAAAGGTGTTGTGACACTATTCACAGGCATTCAGACAGAGCCATCACTCTAAAAACCCAGTCTCCCACTTTTCTAGCACATGGCAGCACACAGTCTACTGACCCCGCTCCCAGCTTCGGTGGCTCACAGGCTGCGGCCTGAGGCTGCTGGTGGGAGAGCCCGCAGATGGGGACGGCTTTGGCAAGGAGCTCTGGGCGGTTCTGACTGGGCTGGGCCCCAGCACCTGCATTGGGGTGACCGGCTGTGCGGTTGTTCCTGGAACTGATGGCCTCGGATAGGTTTCTGTGGTCTCACCTGTAAGAAAATGGAATTACACTGGGGTCTGCATAAAGCCAGTAAGCCCTTCAGGACAGAAAGAAGATAAATGTTTAATGAATATTAGCAATGAGCAAAGACCTATGCTAGCTGCTGTGGAAAGTGAACTCCACCTGCCCTACAAGAATGGAGCAATAAGCCAATAAACAAACCAAAGTTAAAAAAACAATAAATTTTTAAATGATAGTTCAAAACTATAGCAACATAGACAAAGCAGAACATGATTAACTACCAAATTAATTTGCCAGACACCAGAAGCAATGGTTCATAAACATACATTTTTGCTGTTATGGGGTGCATTGGCCAGAGGCTGGGAGATACCCCTGGGCTTTCACTATGACTTTTAGGGAATGTGTTCTAGATATTCTAATTTAGGTTAGTTCATGACTAGTCAACCAACCTCCTCTAGGCCCCAGTTTCCTCATCTGCAAAATGGGCTAATGCAAGATGGTAAGGATCATCTAGGTTCCACTTTTAAACTGTGTTCTTCATCCAAGTGGGATGATTTAGAATGCTGCCACAGTTTTAAACGAGTCTCAGTTTGTTAGCACTCTGGGTGCCCTGACAGTTTCTCTCAAGGCTTTGGGCACGGGGGCAGGTGGCTACCCACTGAGCATTGGGGCTGG